GACAGAGAAAACAAAGAATAAGAGGCAGAAAAAGATGAAGTTTCGGAGGTTTGCCTCTTTTTTCTTTGGTTCGTCTCGCCCCAAATCCACCAAAGCTCAGGTGGATGAGCAGGTGGAGCAGTGTGAGGTGGACCAGGACACTGATGAAGCCCTATCCAGGAGGTGTACTGATGGTAAATGATGAGCTCTGGACAACACAAACTCTCTTAATCGTTTATACAATATAAAAAACCCACATCACACATTATGAAAAGTCAGATAAATGACTTTATTCCACGATGTGATGAATGTTTGAATATAGATGAAATCAGATGTGACGGATGATATGATTTAAAACAAGCTTGTGGTTGATATTTCTCTCTTTAGATCAGACTTTACAGGACATCATCTGTACTGTAGAGGATTATGATCATCAGGAACCTCCTTCCAGTAGTCCTGTCCCCTCCACCACTGCCGGAAACCAGCAAATGGAGGACGCCAAGCCTCAAGATGAGGACAGTCCGCCCAGGCCATCATCAGGTGACACAGGATCAAAATATATGGAATATTTTTAAGAGAATGCATGTGTTTTATAATAATGCAGCTGTTTCTGCTTTTAGGGTTTTTTTCCCTCCATAATTTTAAATGAGCATTTGCCTTTTTTTGCAGTTCATTTAAATAGTCATGTGACAAATTTTTAAAAGTTCAAATAACATTTCATCATCCATCACTGTGGGACACTGCTTTATTAAACGGTAAACAAATAAATATAATTCTGTTTTAATAGATTACATTTGCTGGTTATACGACATTGGCAAGGAATTGGGGAAAGGAGGATTTGGCACAGTCTATGAAGGGACCCGTGCCTCAGAGTAGCTGTGAAATTCACAGTGAAGAGAGAGAACGAGCCATACATCCGCCTTGTACGTAGACTGTGCTCTTTATCTTTGCAATGTAATTTAATGTAAATCATATATATTTCAATAGACAGACAGACTGGGATAAATCCTTATTTGAGAAACCAATCCTTTATTTAAAAATAATAAAAACTGTCATTCTTCTAGCCTGACCACCCCAAACCGGTTCCACTTGAGGTGGCCCTGACAGCAATGGCCAATCAAAGCCCACGCTGTCGCCACATTATAAAGCTGCTGGAGTGGCAGGACCTCAGCGAGCAGTACATCATGGTCCTAGAGCGGCCCTCACCCTGCATGGACATGCACAGCTTTTGGCTGCAATCTGGAGGCCGCTTCAGCGAGAAGTTGGCCTGTCACTTCATGCGGCAGGTGATCGAAGCTGCTGTCCTGTGTTGTTCTAGGGGTGTCCTGCATCGAGACATCAAAATGCTGAACCTCCTAGTCAACACAGAGACCCTGGAGGTCAAATTGATCGATTTCGGCTGCGGGGACCTCATGTAAAGCTCATCCTACAAAAACTACAGTGGTATGTGTTATCTTTAAAACATATTTTGTAGGATTTAAACTCTAGTGACCAGTTGTGTCATGTCTTAATCAGACATCACACAGTGAGATTTTAACAACACACTAACAAAACTCTCAAAGAATAGTCAATACTGGCTAGTCAATAAGGCTAGCTTACGCATGTGACAAACTCCTATCTCCAGGCACAGCAAGGTACTGCCCTCCTGAGTACTTTGAGAAGGGCAAGTACCATGGGAAGCAGGCAACGGTGTGGTCGCTGGGGGTGCTGCTGTTTGCAATGATCGGCCGCCGATTCCCAGACAGCAGAGATATTGCTTTGATGGACCCTGATGTCTGGTTCCAGCCGAACCTCTCAGATGGTTAGAACAAAATGGATGTTCTTATGGATAATGCAGGAATCTTTCCCATTTTTACAGCATAGAAAGCAAGTGTAAAGTTGAAGGAAATAATTAGACAACTCTCTATCTTTTTGCACAGAATGTTGCCGCTTTATTCGAGGTTGCCTGAAGAGCGACCCAAAGAGGAGACTCCATCTGGAGTCCATCTGATGCTCTCCCATGACTGGTTCAAGGTACTAAGACAGTCTAAGACAGGCCAGGCATATTTATATTGGCCTATTTTGGGGATTTTTGTTAATTTGGCTTGATTATCTGAATATGGACATCAGCTTCTTTACATTACCTTTCATTACCTGCTGTAACTGTCAGATACTCAATCCTTATATATGTCACAGAAGTATTTTTAATACCTTATGAAAAATGCTTTCTAATTGTGTTTCAGGTCATAGAGAGAGTTTAGGCTTGCGTCTGGCGGGCTGACACAGATGATCCCTCCATCTCTCTAGCCTCAGCGTCTTGCGTCTTGGTTGCATCTGGCGCCTTGGCTTGAGGCGGTAGTTCTAGCGTCTTGCAGAACTACTTGCCTAGGGATATGTGCATATTGTAAATAGTTAGTTTAGTTTAGTTTTATTTAGTTAGTTAGCACCCCCCATCTCTCCAGTCTCAGCGTCTTGCGGGGCTGGCAGGCCTCGGTTGCGTCTGGCGCCTTGGTTTGAGGCGGTAGTTTTTGCGTCTTGCAGAACTACTTGCCTAGGGATGTATATTGTAAATAGTTTGTTTAGTTTTAGTTAGGTACTGCACCATCCAATCATATTTTTAAGAATGGAGTCACCCAGAGCTCTCTGTTCGGCCCGTCCCACAAGTTCCTCGGACTGACGCCCTAGAAGTTTCTGCCGCTGGTATCCGGGTCCCAGAGAGGGGGTTTCACATAGCCCTCTTTCTCAGCTGCCTTGGGCCCAGAGATCCTGTCAGGGCTGCTCCAGAATTCCCAGTGAAGACAGCCATAAAGTTTCCTGTCACTGCTGCTCCACAGAATCACTGTGAAGGTTCATTCTCCTGCATCTCCAGTCCCTGCTACGGTTCTAGAGCTCCGTGTCAAAGAAGCTTCCCAGGTTCCTGACATGACTACAAAGTTTCCTCCTTATGGTGCACAAACCTCTTGAACCTCTTGTTCCACAGTTGGCTAAGAAGTTCCAGCCAATTTATATACACACCTTGGTGCAACATTAAAAACAAAATGTTTCTGAAAATAAACACAATGTGTTGTTTTATCAGGGAAGCGTGGTAATTTAGAAACAACAATCATTCCTATTATGTTTTAGTTCTAGAGACATTAAGCCTCTTGTTTTACCAGTTTCACCAGGTATGTAATACCAGGTAAGTCACACAAGTCGAGTTACACTATAAGGCCCTCCATTTAACATTTGAAGCCCAAAGTATCAGCATGTAGCCTAGAAATCTAGACACACCCTAGCGGCAGCAAAAATGATTTTGCAGCCAGTGTGGTCTAGCAACTCGCCGTTGGCTTTCGAAGTAGAAAAAACATATCACATCGTGTATAGAGTTGGTGGGCGGGCTTAAAGGGTTAGTTCACCCAAAAATGAAAATTAAGTCATTAATTACTCACCCCCATCCTGTACCAACCCCGTAAGACCTTCGTTCATCTTCGGAACACAAATGAAGATATTTTTGATTGAATCTGAGAGCTGGATCACTCTTCCATAGACTGCCTAAGGGACTGGCTCTTGACGGCCCATAAAGTCATTAAAGAAAAGGTTTAAATATTCCATGTGCCTACAGCGGCTCAATTATAAGTTTATCAAGCGACGAGAATACTTTTTGTGCGAAAAAACATAAATAACGACTTTATTCGACTATTCTATTACTTCCTTATGGGCGCATGCGCGAGAACTGAGATGAGGACGTTCTCCTTCGACTACTTTTTGTTATCGGCTGCTCACCGCTTAGGAGTATTACCGCCACCTACCGTATAAGATGATGATCCATATATAAGGCGTTCCGGATTATAAGGAACACTGTCGTTTTTTGAGAAGACTAAAGGCTTTTAAGTGCACCTTATAGTGCGGAAAATACGCAAATTGAAAAGCGTATGTACAGCGCGCATCTTCCTCTGCTTGTAAACAGAAAGTTTTGCACTTCCAGCTATATCAGCACGTCATCTTATACGGTAGGGGGCGGTAAAACTCCTAAGCGGTGAGCAGCCGGTAACAAAAAGTAGTCGAAGGAGAACGTCCTCGTCTCAGTTCTCGCGCATGCGCCCATAAGGAAGTAATAGAATAGTGGAATAAAGTCGTTATTTATGTTTTTTTTCGCACAAAAAGTAGTCTCGTCGCTTGATAAACTTATAATTGAGCCTCTGTAGGCACATGGAATATTTAAACCTTTTCTTTAATGACTTTATGGGCCGTCAAGAGCCAGTCCCTTGGGCAGTCTATGTAGGACTGATCCAGCTCTCAGATTCAATCAAAAATATCTTTATTTGTGTTCTGAAGATGAACGAAGGTCTTACGGGGTTGGTACAGCATGGGGGTGAGTAATTAATGACTTAACTGTCATTTTTGGGTGAACTAGCCCTTTAACACAATGATGGCAGAGTTGTGGCGGTTCATGCGCTGTGATTTCCATAGGGGAATTCCCTGCTACTTGAAAACAAGCGTGCCGCACAAGCCCTCAAAAGTGAAGCCAAAACGTCTCGGTCAAACGTCATAAAGCAAATCATTATTTGTCGTTATAATACTTATTAAAGCCACAAATACTTAAATTTATGGGTCTCCTTTGTCGCTTGGGCAGCCAGTCTGGGTTAGCAGTGACACTTCTCATACCCCTTCGTTTGAAGTGTGCTCCCGAAAAATCTTCGTTTGAAGGGCTATCTGGCCCTTCACCCTAGCCCTCCCCCTCCAACCAAAAGAGAATTGGGACAGCCCTACCCTTTCACGTGGACGCGCAAAACGGAGGGGAAGGGGAAAGTGAAGGGGTAAGGGGTAGAATTGGGATTGGCCCCTAGTATAGCTCATAAACCCCGCCTCCCCATGTTATTCAATGGGACGCGAGACCAACTAAACAATTAAATTACACTTCACATATCCTTTTTCCAAAGATAGTTTCTGTCATTTAGTGTAGTTTCTATCACGTCCATCTTTTTTTACAGTCTATGCTTGAAAACAAACTAGATGCTGCGGGCGAACAGCGGTCTTTCGATTCGGCTTTGGCCGCGACTCTGGAGGACTTGGAGTTGAGAGAACATCATATGTCATTCTTAAGTCATTCCAGTTTTACACAACTCATTTGGGTTAATATTTTGGTGTAATTTCAAATAAACTTTATTTTTACATGATCTGAGTCTGAATTTATTGCACATACAATAGAAAAATCTTGAAATGACAGAAATAAGCCTGTCTCCAATCTCCAAGCTACTATCTTTACACAATTTAAGATTACGTAATGCACATTACTTGTAATACATTGCTTGTTAAAAAAACATAAAAAATATTTTTTTTAAATTCTTCTTATGTAATCCACGTACTTGTTACACATTACTTTACTCTTAACATGAAAAAAGTATCCTAATTGTTTTATGCATGCGTTACCCCTCTAACACTGCTCTTTTCAGATAAGACTGAAAACACCTGATCGCTAGGTTTTCTCAGCTATGTTCGAAATGTGTCCTTGAACATAATCAGAATTATCAGCTAATAAGGGTAAAATCACATACTCTGGTACACTGGAGGGAGCATCCGAGTGCTTTCCACAGTTGTACCTTGACAGGCTGTAGAGATTTCTGATGGAATCACGTCCTCATGTTCTGATATCGAAGATACGCGAAGTTCAACTTGTATGAAGTTTCACATTTATGTTTTTTATATTTTCCACATTATTTTATATAATTTTATTGATTGGTTTGTTAAATACACTCAATACTGTATTATGCTATCTAACACCTGTTTATAGAGATTAAACAAACAAAAAAAAAACACTTTTAATGACACTTTCTTGTTATAGCAGAATGAGCTAATCATCTGAGTCGTTCCTGAAGAGGTATTCAGCCTGAAATGGAGAATATGACACCAATTTAGTTAAATAAATAGTGTGTTGTTAAATAAAAAAACAGGTTATGAATATCTTTATACAAGTGTTACCAAAAAGTCCACAGGGTCATCAGGCTTGACCTTACAGCAGTCCACCAGTCCTTGTATGACAGTGGGCATGACGTATTTCATCAAGTAGTGTCTCACGGGGACAGATCGTGTCTCTAAGAGCTCCTGCTCCTGCTTCTTTACCTCGGCCACGTTCCTGTTCTGCAAACACACATACACAAGCTGAACAACGTGGTCGTTTCAAAGGGGAAAGAGAAAGATTTGGCTGCTCACATACACTACTGGTCAAATGCTTGTGGGCGGTAAATGCCATATCTCTCATTTGGACTTTTATGTTTACAGTAGTTTTATTTCACAAATCACTAGAAAACTGCCAACAGGACTGCAAAACTAGAAACAGGAAATTTCAAGAATAAAAGTCCAAGTGAGAAACACGACTGTTCTGTGGATTCTGCCACTGAATAAAAAGTTGACATCTCGCAATTGTGAAATTATATCTCGCAATTCTGACATCTTTTCTCAGAATTGTGAGATATAAACTGTCAATTGCGTGTTATAAAGTCTTAATTTTAAGGAAAAGACTGACTTTTTCTTTTTTTTTCTTTTCAGAATTGTGAGTTATATCTTTATAACATGCAATTGTGACTTTATATGATGCAATTCTGAGATAAAAAGTCAGAATTGTGAGATAAAAAGTCATAATTACTTTTTTTATTATTATTCTGTGGCGGAAACAAGCTTCCAAAACTTGTTACGACAATCATAGTTCAAATAAAGTTCTTTTGAACTTTATAATCATCATAGAATCTCGAAGAAAAATGTATTAGGGTTTCCAGGGTTTGCAATATCAATGTTTTTACTGTATTCCTATTACTTAAATAGTCATTGACCAAATATTATTTATTTAAAAAAAAACAAATGTACCCATTTGTCCAAAAGCGCAGCCATTTTATCATTCTCCACGAGTTCTTTCTCAACTTCCTCCTTTTTCAGCTGCTGGTGCCTTTCATCCTCTTTCCTCTTCTCCTGCATTTCCTCAGGACTCAGGCCATAGTTCATGGGCCGCCCCACCGTCTTAATTATTTTCTCCACCGCGGCCACGCTCTCGACGTCTAAGAATGATATCATGAAAACAATATTCTTAATAACAGCACCACCCTGCTTCATGACTATCAGCTTACCAGTCAGTTCAATTTTCTTATGTATGCACAAAAATAAGAGTGAAAGTTTGGGTTTTAACCGATGTGTTCGGGGTGGATTTCCAGTTCATCGAAATAGTCAAGCAAAGACTCGTCTTCTGGCGAAGTCTCCCTGAATTTTGCAAGACTCTCTGTAAACTCTTCTTGAGTGCAGTGCATTTCCTCTGCCACATGCTGCGGGAGACTCCGGACGCGCTCTTTAAGAAATTCATCAGTGGCTTCCAATGAGAAGACGAACTCTGAAGGAAAAAAAAGACAATGTTTGTTAATGTTAACATGAAACACAGCATTTGCCAGCCCAGTTTTACTTCTGTTGATGTGTAATACACGACTGTTCAACAGTTTAGGGTCGTTTTTTCAAAGAAGTCGCTTATGCTCACCAAATCTGAATTTATTTGATTTATTTGTACCAAGAGTATGTGTGTGTGAAGCTTTAGCACAAAATACCTCACAGATATTTTTATAGCATGTTAAAGTTGTCACATTTTTTTAGGATTTGCAAAAATGCACCGTTTTGTGTCTGGCCCTTTAAATGCAAATGAGCAGCTGCAGAGGGCGGGGTTTCAAGAGCCTGTGTGTTTTAGCAGTTGCGATTACCTCACGCAGTGGTGGTCCCGGCGGCGGGGTGTATGTAAATTTTAGGGTTACTGATGTCACTAACCCGGGAGGAAGCTTGTGTAGTCTCTACCAGCCGTTTGTTGTAGTCCTTAAAAAACGCTTTATTTAAAAGCAGATATCTCCTTTTTCTTTGAACTTTGAGCGTTGTAACTTTGATAATGTCGTTTATGCCGCAAACAGCAACATTACACACTAACTAAAGTTAGAAAAGAGAAATCATACTTTACCACTTTAATAATAAGCCTAAATTCAATCTCTTCATCATATAAAATGATCGAGTCTCTTCAGAAAATTTGTTCTGAACCGCTCAATTCATATGGGTTAGTTTTACAATCTCTTTATGAACTTTTTGAAGCATCAAAGTGATAATTAAAGTAATTAATTACAGAATTTTCAATTTTGGGGTGAACTAACTCTTTATTAAAACAATACAAACAGTAATATTTTGAAATATTATTACTTTTAAAATTTAAAACAGCTGATTTTAATATTATTTTAAAATGTAATTTATTCCAGTGATTTTTAGTGTCACATGATCCTCCAGAAATCATAATAATATGCTGATTTGCTGCTCAAGTAACATTTCTAATTATTAATCACGTTGAAAACAGTATTAATATTTGGTGTTTGACATTTTTGTGGAACCTGTAATAATAAAAAAGTCAGGGTTCTTTGCTCAACAGAAAGTGCAGTATTTCTGGCCGAAACGGGATAGTGAAAAACAGCTGAAGAGTCTTCTCAATGTTAATAATTATTTTCCAACGTATTATTATTATTATTGCCATAGCTCTTTTATTACAAAAACAATGAAAAGCATTTCATTATTGTGATATTACTAAGATGTTTAAAAGCTAAATCATGCATTTAAACGTTTACAACATTACAGCAGAAGTGAAATATATCAGTATCTTCTGAAATGACTAACCTGGAATCAACACTTTGCTATACTGAGATATTGAAGATCTGGTATCTTCTACTTCCATGTTTGCATCTGGAAAACATTTCACAAGTTAAAGGTGAAGACTTTATATTTCCACGTTGGGTTTTGTTTGTTTAAAAGGAAGAAAGCTGACCATGGAAAAGCTCTTTAGCCTGTGTATAGGTCTTTGGGTATCCATCCAGAACGAATCCTTGATTTCTGCAAGGCATTGAGTTTAGCTTCTCCCTTATGATGTCCATCACATGCTGCTCATCCAACTGGCCTGTGAGAAAACATCATCAAGTAACACTTACTATATCAGATCTGTTACAATCATATTTATATACATAAATCGGATCATGTCGAAGCTTCATTCACTGCATACCATCGTTCTGAAGCATGTTGTTCTTTATAGTGTTAAGCTTCTCTTCGGCACCAGTGAGCATTTCCTCAGTCTCCTGTGTCTTCTCACTGCTCGCAAGCAGTTCCTTCTGAAGAACACACACTGAACATTCAAAACAGCTTCATATCAAGCGGGGCCAAAAAAAAAAGGCGTGATGAATTGAGAAATCACATTTTCCTTGAGTTTTTGACATCTAAGAGGTCATTATATTATAAGAATATGCTGTAAGTTTCAGAACTGAAAACGTCCTTGTTAGTCCAATAAAAGCTTTTATTGTTTTTCAAAGTGGGGAACTATGACGTCAAAGAGGATAAAACACCACCCCCGCAGAAGAAGATCAACGCCTACTTCAACACGGTTTGCCACGGTTCAACGCGGTTCCCCGCCCTACGATTCGCGCATTCAAGCATAGCTAAATAACATAGGCCTACCTCATAGGGCTGGACGATTAACCGAAAAATAACTGAAACCAAAATTCAGAGCCTATAACTGACGTGATTTTACCATGTCGGTTATTTCGGTTTTTGAATACTATTAATATATCCGCCCACTGTGTGTTAACGTACTTTCCCCTTAAAACATAGTAGTCACGTCACTCCACCCCGTCCAGTCTGCGACATAGAAATTGGGGCTAATTGAAACAACATGAGCCTTTCACACAGCGTGTTGATCCCGGGAAATTGCCAGAACAAACACCTTCTGTGTGAACGCAAACACGGCCCAGGATTGGTGCCGCCAGGTTGGGGACAGAGTAACAGTTGCTGTGTTCAGTCCATGGTTCAGTCACGCGCGCGCGCTGTGTGAACAAAAGCCGTAATCAATGTCGCGTTGCAGATAATGATGCCGTTTAAGCCATTTAAGCGTGAAACGGTACGCAATGCGCTAGTATATTATCGAAAAACTATAGACGCTGCTGAGATGTCACGTGTCTTTGCGGGTTGTGTGTGAACGCACTCTCTGATTCCTCAAACACTGAGTCAACTCAGCAACAGGAGCTGCTTGTACCAAAGAAACACGCGAAAAAGAGAGAGACTGACAAACGCCCAGCAACAAGTGCCTCCACTCCACAAAGCAGCTTTCGATAACATAAGCATTTACGAATGCTATGTTACGAATGCTATTCGTTTTTTAGTTTTATACAAGTTATATTTTACTTTTTAGATGGCAATATTTACAATAATTTATTTTATTTAGAAAAATAACTATTTTCTACATTTTTTTATATTTTTAAATATTTAATAAGCATTAAAAGCTATCTGTGTTTCCTTAGTTTAGAATCTCAAAGATTATGCACTCTTTCATTAGAAAAAAAATACATATTGACAGAATAAGCCTTGCCAGTGACGTATGAGAAAGAAAAAAAATTAAAATAATCGTTCAATAATCGTAATCGAGGTGACTTGTTCGATTAATCGTGATTATGATTTTAGCCAAAATCGTACAGCCCTACTACCTCGTGATGACAAACCGGATCGAGCTACCGAGCAATAGAAAATATTGTGCAGTGCCTGGTTGTGGAAGAAGACAGTCGCTGCATAAGCTTCCTCTGGAGTCCAATAGGACTGCATGGATAAACTTTATTTTTAATGACGTTCCAGCTGATGAGGTAAAACATTGTCCGTCTGTTCGCTTCATTTCACTGAGGATTGTTTTGTAAACAAGACTGGATTTGCAGACCGATTAAGAGTAAAGAACGCAGCTTTGCCGTCTACATTGGATCTGACAGGAATTGTGCAACACACGGACTCGAATCACACTGGGTCGAACCGGGTCGAACATGTTTGGGAGAATCATTCCGGTTGCCATTTTACAACATTGGACGTTTTCAAAACAATTTCCCCCAAGTGCATCGACGGGTGAGTTGAAACTCATTATAATATGCAAAACTGTTATCCACTCACAGCAGTGGGCGTTTACTTCCAAGTCTTCAGTGCGAGACGCCCATAAAAACCAGGCGTTTTTCAGCTAGGCTCAAAACTAGGGTACAAAATACCCTATTAATATTCATTTTGACGTTTTTGAATGCAAAAAACCAAGCGAACGTCATAAGTTGACCTCAGACAACAATATGATAAAATTTAAAAAGCCAGATCATGAGCCCTTTAAGTACAATGTAAGTCCTAATATCGTTCTAATATTTGGTGCTCAAGAAATATGTCTTATTATTATCAGAAATCAGTCATTATCAATTGAAAACAGTTATGCTGCCTAAAATTTTTGACGGAACAATTATATATACAGTGCTGCTTTAAAGCAGGACTATGCAGTTTTCATACCTTAACTGAGTAGCTTCGGAGTAATTGCAATGGTTATATGACTATTTTCAGGTTGATTGTTGGGCGTCTTGCCGAGGATGAACAGGATGAACTTTTGAACAGGATGAAGATGTCCAAATTTTCCATATTTCGTTTAAATATCAAGGTTTTTTTTTTTCATTTAGTACCCAACCCCCTTTTTTAATTGTTGTGTTTGAGTCCCTCAATTGCTCTCAGTGTGAAAAGATGGATCTCACGACAATAGTTCTTAATTACTGTAGACATCGTTAAAATACCAATTAAAAAAAGAAGCTGTTGTGTTCTCACTCACAAGTTGTCTGACTTTCTCATCGATGGCTTCGTTGACATTAATATGATGAAGTTTGTAATATCTGCACAACTTTGCAGCAACTGAGCTTTTGCCAACAGCAGGGGGCCCAAGAAGACAGATTTTTATTGGCTGAAGGAAATGAAAAGCAAAATGGGAGAATGTAAGCAGGTAAACACATTTTCTAAAGCTATTTTGCTTAGAAAGGTCTTCAAAATATTAAAAAGCGGCAATTTTTTTTTTTTTTTTACCAATTTCTTTTTTAATTTCTGATATAAATTCTAATTCTTACACTAGACATGACTCTATCAGCAAGTGTTATCAGGGCTTACCAACAGTTGCCGTGTCTGTTTGTATTCCTCCACCACACGAAATATGTTATCAACAATCCCAGAGTCATAATCCCAGCGGAAGTTTAATTTATCCTTTAAGAAAAGCGACTCAGTCTGAAGGTTGACACTGAGGTAAAGCAGGTCGGTTTTCTGTTAAAATACACAACAATGATATATATTACCTTCACATATTATTTTATGACATGGCAAAAATGTGTGTTCAGCAAAAACAGCCTACCGTAATTGCCTTTGTGCCACAGGCATCCTCCTTTGGGACTTTTTCTATTTGTCCAGAACCCAGGGCAGAGGCAATGGCCTGAGGAAATAGACAGCTGCGTGTTTAATAATGATTTCTATTGGTGTTTTCTCAGAGAATGTTGTAGGGATGACATCAGAACCTGGAAGACTAATTCGACTAATTCGATAAGACTAATAAATTTATGTGAGAAAATAACCCTCTGTGGTAAACATAACTTTACGATACTTTGACGTTTTGTTATTCAACGTACACATACTCAACACTCAACCTGTCTTTAGTTACTTATTAAAAACATACATTTAAAAAAATGCTGCAAAATTCGTGTTTTTGCTATGGGTGTGTGTAATTTACGTTGTAGAACAAAACATCAAAGTATCGTCAAGTTATGTTTACCACAGAGGGTTTATTTTCTCACATAAATTTAAAATCCCTTCAAATCCTTCAAATCACAGGCTTTATTTTGCACATTAATCTAAAAGCCCCATAATAAAATCCCATAGGAAAATCCAACACTATCTCACGACTAATTCGTACGAATTCGACGCATGATTAAAAAGTGTCTAATTCGTACTAATTCGTACGACCTCACTCGTACTAATTCGTACGATTTGTCTAAACCCACGTGATGGTTAAGTTTAGGGGCGGGGTAAGGGGTAGGTCATTCGTATGAATTCATACGAATTGGCCAATTCGTAAAATATGTACGATTTAGCAAAGGTCGTATGAATTGTTACGAATTAGCCACTTTTTAATCATTCGTCGAATTCGTACGACTTGGTCGTGAGATCGGGTTGGAAAATCTCAAAGGAACCAGCGACGAATTAGTCTTCTGGGTTCTGACATCATTAATATCATACCTGCCGCACTTTATTGCAAAACTAAAGTGTGAGTATTACATTCAGTACATCATATAATATAACAAAGTGTTTGATGATTTAATACTTTCACAATGTCTTCAAAAGTGTTCTTGGAATCGTCCACAGCGAGGAAGTAGTGTGCTTTTGGTTTGTGATCGATGATGTTTTGCACCACTCTGAAATGACAAATGATGACAAAAATATCAGATGAGAATCAAATTGAAAAGTTCAACAAAACACAAATCAACATCCCAGGAAAATGACAGAACTGCAGTTTCTCAAACCTTGCAAGGTCGTGGATGTGAATGGCAGGAATGATGTTTGTCCCAGAGCCAAAAACAGGCACGCTGCTAAGCTCTCCGAGCCAAGCTGTCTGGGAGAAAGTGAACAAGTTAGGCTACAAAATGTGATTATGAATTCATATTGAAAAATAATGTTGCTCTTATACTTGAGTCATGTCAGTACTTTAAAGAAGAAGTGAAACATGCTCTCTCCCATTCCATATTGCAGCCCCGATGTTACAACATAAGTAGACAGCTTTGACTTTTTCTGAAAGAAAAATACAGGAAGTTTGTTTCATATGTTATGGTATTAAGGTTGTTTCATATCATAAATGATTTGAAATGTATTAGGCTGGATTCTGGATGGATCAATTACAGTCTTCCCCAGTTTAAGCACAAGTTTCTCTGTGCTTGTGTGTTCTTTAAAGTTTGGATGTGGTCTTCGTCTCCTGTAGTCGTCTTCAGTCAAGGGAATGTCAGGATCATCCTTAAGATACAATCAGAAAAAGTAGCAAAAGTAATGATGTCTGGTCTGTTCATGGTCACTGGTACAGCACATTCTAACTAATAATATAAGCATAATGAAAAACAGTGTGAAAAGTGAAATGTGTAATGTGTAAAAAAAATTTGCGATTGTCACCAAAAAAAGAAGGTAAAAACAAGGATTTTCAATATGGAGTCAAATTTATGGAAGGTTTCTGCCACAGAATAAAAATAATAATAATTGTGACTGGAATTCTGTCTTTTTCCTTGCAATTGTGTTTACATTGGACAGTTATTTCTTTTTTTCTCAGAATTACAAGTTTATATCTCGCAATTCTGTCTTTATAATTCACAATTGTGAGTTTATGTCTCATCATTTTGAGAAAAAAAACTTTTATTTGCAAAACATAAACTCACAATTGTCGGCTCACAATTCAGATTGCGAGTTTATATCTCACAACTCTGAGTCAGAAAAAGAGTCTGAAATGCGAGATATAAACTGAAGATTCTGACTTTTTTCTCGCAATTGCAAGATTTTATTTCGCAAATTGTGAGATTGAAACTTGCAATTGTCAGATCACAATTTGGACTTTGTGAGTTATGTCAGTTTTTTGACAGGAAAATTAAGTCAGAACTGCGATTGTCACGGTTCATGAATTCACAGTGTTTTTCTTGTCTCGTGTCATTGTGTATGTGTGTATGTGTGTGTGTGTGTGTGGGGGGGGGGGGGGGACGGGTTACAGATCAGTACCACTGATCAGTGGCGTCAGCTGCATCTCGTCTACGGCGCCAGCTGCATCTGATCAGCGGTGCCAAATATACTCACAGTTTTCATCTAGTCTTTGTCAGGTCGTTGTGGTGTTCCTAGTGTTTTGTTCCTGTTTGGCTATCTGACCAGGGCATGGAGGCAGCAGGTTGTTCCGAAATCAGTTTAAATGAATTCATCGCCCACAGTATCAATCGAATGGATTCGCAAGAGGAGAATATCGTGAACACGGGGCGGCCAGTGCAAGCTTTAATGACGCAGGTGTCCGAGCTCACCCAACATTTCCAACACCTGAGGAGTCCCGTCCACACCGTCAGTTCAACCCACACCACCTGAGTCGTCCTTCCAGTTGGAGCCTCGTCTTCCTGTCCCAGTGGCACACTCAGGGGAACCCAATTTCTGCAGGGCGTTGCAGTCTCATTGACGTGTGGGAGAACCAGTATCCATGCTGCACCTCATTCCAGGCACTTGCCGAAAAAAACAAGGAGTGTTCAACCGGTCGATGGCGGGACGAGAGGCAGCCAGGGTACTCACCAATTTGCATCAGGGGGATCAATCGGTGTCTGACTACTCTATCGAGTTCCGCACTCTGGTGGCCGAGTGCCAATGGAACGAGGAGGCGCACTGGTACATGTTCCTGCGTGGGCTGGAAATCTACGCGTTGGATCAGCCCACAAGTTTGAACAGCCACATGGATCTGGCTCTCAGGTTGGACGCACGCCTTGCCAGGATGAAATGTCGCATTCTTCCTGTCCATTTTTCTGGAGTCACAGGGGATCCACAAACCAGCGGTGGGGACACTGTCAGCCCAGTCTTCGATCAGGTGGGTAGGGCTTGGCTTTCCCTGGAGGAGAAGGAGAGTAGGAGGTCCCTCAGACTCTGCCTATACTGTGGGGAGGCAGGCCACTTTCTACACGCCTGTCCTGCAAAAGGCCAAGCTCGGTAGTAAACTTGAAGCTACTATCAGGTGGGATCTCCGCCAAGAAGAACTCATCACCATCGTCCTCTCTCCTACCGGTAAGACTGAGATGGACCTTACTGGACTCAGGAGCGGAGGGAAACTTTTTGGATCATAAGCTTGCCCATAAACTGCTCATTCCTGTCACTTCTCTTACTCAGAGCATATCCGTCAATGCGCTTAATGGTCAAAAACTCCCCAACATTGCTCACACCACAGGATCCATAACAATCACCACATAAGGCAATCATACAGAGACTTTGTCATTTCTTCTCTTAGATTTCTGTCATTCCTGTCACTTCTCCTTTTCGCAGCATATCCGTCAATGTCCTTAATGGTCAATGGTCTTAATGGAATTTCTTCTCTTGGACTCACCCCTGGCCCCCATAGTCCTCGGTCACCTGGCTAACTTTACATAACCCCAGAGTAGACTGGTGCCAACACTCCATCTCCAAATGGAGCACTGCCTTGTCTTACATCTGCTTGTCCGTCTGTACCTGTTTCTGTGTTTCAGGAGGAAGCAGTGGATTTATCGAATGTGCCCGTCGAGTACCTGGACCTGAAGGAAGTCCCTTGCTGCTTCTCTCCCTTCGCACCATCCCTACGACTGTGCTAATGAGTTACTGGCCTAAGGGCATGATAGATTCACTTTCAACTAAGTTCACCCGGCCTTCTTCTTCTCCTGCAGGGGCAGGGTTCTTTTTTGTGGGTAAGAAGGATGGTTCTCTGCGACCTTTTATTGAGCCCGAGCCCCAGAGACTCTGCTCCAAGTGAGGGCGTGCACCAAGGCTAAAGCCGATCACCACCTGGTCGAAGCCTCCCACATACGTTGTTGGTCAAAAAGTGTGGCTTTCAACTAAGAACATTCCACTCTGCTCCGTTTCTAATAAATTAGCTCCAAAATGTATCGGCCCGTTCACTGTCACCAAGATTATTAACCTGGTGACAGTCCGACTCAAACTTTCTCCTGCGTACAGGAAAATTTGTCCCGCCTTTCATGTATCTAAACCCCGTGTTTCATTCTCACATTAATCCGCCTGCTCCAGTTCCTCCCCCACCACGGCTCGTAGATGGGGAGCCTACTTATTTGGTTAATCGCATTCTGGACTCGAGGCAGAGGGGTATCTGGATTCCAGTATCTGGTGGACTGGGACATGAATTCACTGTGTCCTTCTTGTCTCATGTCATTGTTATTGTGTGTGTGGGTGTGGTCACAGATCAGTGGCGTCAGCTGCATCTGATCAGCCGTGCCTATATATACTCAGTTTTCGTTTTGTCTTTGTCAGATTGTTGTGGTGTTCCTGGTGATTTGTTCCTGTCGCTCGTGGTTTTGGATTGTCTTCGTCTCTGGTTCATCGTCTTCATTCACTGGATCTGGACTCACCATATCATCTATCAACCACCACCAGCCCGGTTTCCATCGAGGTCCCTGCGTCACTTGTCCACCCCTGTGTGTCGTACTGTATGTTGTATGGACCTGACCCTCTTGGTTTATTTATTAATAAACGAGCCTTAAACTGTGTTTGCCTTCTCCTCGTTATTCACACATGACAGCGAGATATAAACTTACAAATCTTTGTATATTGACTTTTCTGATGTAATACATTGCAATTGCAATGTACCTGTATAAACACAATTCTGACTTCATAACTCGCGATTGTGAGTTTGTCTCATAATTCCGAGAAAAAAGTATGAACTGCGATTCAGACTTTGTTACTAGCAACTGCGTTTAAAAAGATCGTATCTGTGTGATAAAAAGTTACAATTACCTTTATTTTTTATTCCATGGTGGAAAGAAGTTTCAATACAAATTTGGACCTCACTGTATGATATAAATATTTAAAAGCAACACTCACAGGATCAGCTGGTTTGGTCATTGCCCATGTCATGATTGTTGACAGCAGGATAAATATTTTTGAAGACCCAAAATGTTCAATTTCAGAGTGCAGGGCTACAAAAACACAGATGTATTATACAGTTTTATAGATTGGTATGAATAAAGAAATAAACTGAAAATAAATGAAATGGTGTTAGGGCTGTATCCTAAAACCTAGTGAGTTGCATCTCACAACAGAATTTTGGTCATCTGAACGTGCCTCACCATGTTTTGAGATGCAGCCTAGATAAATCTGGAAATCTGAGGTATTGTTACCTGAAATGGCCCATGTTGCCTCATCTATGAGATCAGTGTGTTCAGTGATATTATACACAATAACATCACACTGCATCAGATACTGCAGGAGCTCCTCTTGACTCACAGACTGAAATATGAAGAAACAAGATGCTCAAAATTGCTCTAGGTTCCCAGCTTGCAAAGTTTAAAGACACATCAGACTTGTTACAAGGGTCAAGGACAAAAGTGTTGCCTGCTCATAAAAGGTCATTATCTGATATTTTATGACATTTATTGAAATTATGATATAATTTATAGAGTTGTATATTTCTAACTCCAAACAATTAGCCACTAAACCAGATTATAAAATTTTCTTCAAGGCTGTGCTGGTACAGGTCATACGGTTTCTCCGTTTTCGCTTGAGACCAGAAAGCATTAGCCTCGATAGTAGTCGTGTCTCCTTCATTGCGTATTTTAATATTTTGAATATATCCCTCCACTGCATACTGTAACCTCTTTTGCCTCGATCTGGAGGATATCGTTGAGGTATTGCTCCAAAATAGGTCACTGACACGCAAGGGTATACCTCATCCTGTCATGGCAATCTGTCGCGCTGGTCGTGTTTGACCATTTGCGTAGTAACAATAACTAGGGAGCGTGGCTTTTGCGAACAGTCAACTGGAATTTTAGCGATCTGGCACTGCAACTGAGTGGCTCTGCATTTACTGTGCCAAGAGTCTCCAGCCATCATGGCTGCCAAACCCAAAGCAACAAAGGCTGTTTCAAGGTGTTCAAGACTCACGTCCAGTGAGGCGGACCCATCACTGATTACCAGTGTTGGGAGTAACGCATTACAAAAGTAATACATTACAGTAACATATTACTTTTTGCCGTAACGCAGTAGTGTAAGGCATTACTAATCAATTTTCAGTAATATTTTACTCGTTACATGTTCAGTGAGGCTTGTATTACAGTTGTATTACAGTGTATTGTCTGCTTTTACTTCTTAAAGGCAACAGACTATGTGAAAGTTTTAAAGCAGTCTTTTAGTGCCAGTTCCGAGCGGTCGCGTCTGTAACATTGTTTTTTCCTCATAAATGCGAACACGAAAACTAAAATAAAATGAATATTTTAAGTTCTATGGAGACTGGAGAGCCAACCCTTCCTCATCCGATTTGCGCAGTGTAATTAACAGAATTACAAAAAATATATTTTGCCTCCTATTTTTTGTCACGCATGAATGTGTGTCTTTTCCCTAATATTAAAAATAAAACATAGACTGATATTTGTCTAATGTCTGGAGTCCTTTAAGGAAGTAGCCTATATACGTTTCAATACATGTATTTTCTGAGAATTTTTATTTCATGTTTTGACTGCAAATGTCATGTCCATAATGCTGGACTTCCCCAATTTTAAATAATTTATCCTCAACTAGTTTTGTGGTGTAGGTCTACGTATTTTATAATGTTAACTTCAAATAATACTAATAGCCTAATTTAAAGATAAAGTAGCATTGGATATGGATATGGAGGTGTGTCGCGATTCTGTAGGTTCGTGGATCTGAGTCGTGTGGCGAATCGTGATTTCGGTTTCATATTGCATATCGTTACAGCCCCAAAGTTAAGTTCTACTTAGTTATTTTGGTGAAAGTAACTCAAAAGTAATACATGAGTAATGTAACGCATTACAATTCTGAGACAGTAATATTGTAAGGTAATGAATTACTTTTAAATAACAGTAACAAGTAATACCTAATGTATTACAGTTTGGAAGTAACTTGCACAACACTGCTGATTACGGTGCAAGGTTCCGGCATCCCGGTGGTCTCAGCGCATCCAAGTTCGGAGGTCCCAGCACATCACAGTCTGGTGGTCCCAACGCTTCCAAGTATGGTTGTCGCAGAGGTCTTACCAGAAACAGCTGCGCTTCCTGTAATACCAGTCGCAGTCTTATGTGTTTGGGTCGCAAATGACTACAACTTCTCCCGATGCAGCAGCAACTGCCCCTGAACCTTCTGTCTTTTCTGATAAGGCCAAAGAGGCAGTCCTTGAACTATCTGCCTGCCCTGACATAACCATGGAGGTCATCCCTAAACCCCTTGTCTTCTTTGACAAGACTACCGAGGTCGTCCCTGAACTCCTTTTTTTCTCTGACATGACCACAGACGCCATCCTTAAACTCCCTGTCTGCCCTGACAAGACTACAGAGGTCCCCCTAAACTGTTCAGACACGGTCACGGAGAACGTCTGATCCATCTGCCTGTCCGTCTGCTCCACTGTGGGGATCTTCAGTCTCGTTTGCTCCACCGTGGGGATCTTCAGTCTCGTCTGCTCTGCCTTAGTGGCCACCTACTCTGCCAGCTCCGTCCTGTTCACTGTGCCTGCTACACCATGGTCCCCTTCTCTGGCAGCTCCACCTTTGTCACTTGCTTCACTTCTGCCACACAGGCCCGGCCAAACATCCTGCCCCTTGATCAGCCTGCCCCGCTCCACCCCCCTCAAGGACTTGTTGTTATGTTTTTGGAGCATTTGGAAGCTGCTCCTTTAAAGAGCCCATTGTCCCTAAGTTATCTTAGTTCCGGTTTGCCACATTGCCTTGATTGTCTCCGTAGTTTTCCTCATAAGTTTTCAATAGAATTGATATACACTTGTTAATCATTAGCCTTTGTGTTCCCTTTGTTTCAATTATCTTTTGTTGTTGTTCTTGCATGTCTCTCTTTGTTTTTGTGTTCCGGGTTTCTTCTGTCTAGATTATGTCTCTGGTTCCCCAGTTTGGATTATGTTCCTGTCTTTGTTTTGGATTATCTTGATTTGTATTCTTTTGAATTGTATCTGCACCTGGATTCTCACCTCTCATCATCCCTGCTTAAAACATAACAATTCCCTAGATTGTCCTAGCTAGATTGTTCACTACCTGTCTATCGATGTTTGTGAAATATAACATTTTTTTTCAATACATCTGTCTTGTTGTGTCATGATGTGTATTGAACTGGCTTGTGCAATATATAGATGGTTTTCACAGTGCATTGTGGGACTTTTTAGGGAGCAAAGTTTCAGTAAATTGGAATTTGTGATTGAAACAGCCCTTAAAATGGCAGATTCCCTGGTCAATGCCATGATTACTGAACTAGAAAGCTGACTGAGACAGCTTTTTCTGAATGACATGACTTTAATTTGGTGGGCAGAAAAAAATAAACATATATATATATATATATATATATATATATATATATATTACTGCTCCACTGTTTATTTATTTTATAAGAAATTATAAAAACTAAAGAATTTAATTATTTTAAGAATTACGTTATATTATGCTTTTATTTTCTTCAATAAGCACCATACAGTATCAACTACAAATGTTTTTTACTTCTGGTTCCAAAAAATATCTCAAATTATTTTAATTCAGAAAAGTAGTAAACGTGAATCTTTTTTTTTTTAATTGATTAATAAATCCGGTCTTAAATGCCATCTAACAACAATGCCACACATTTATTTAAATGATAAATGATAAACGTAACTAACCCAATATTCCTCCAATGCAAAACGTTGTTTTTTTGCACCTTTATTCGCAACTGTTCCGACTATCTGAAATCGTGCGCCATCTGAAGCCAGCTCTTGTTTGTCTTCCTCCTCTTCATCAGCGAGAGACTCTCCGACGACACATGACGACAAGAACTAAACAAAGCAACATTAAGCCACAGCGCTTATTATATTAATGTAATGTACCTACTATATGACTCTTTTACCTGCGCGATATATTTGGATGAGTATGAGTCGATGTTGTTGAAAAAGACTCGTTTGGAGCGGCTCTCGGTGTGGTTAACATTGGCCATGTTTGTCCTTGGTTGCTATGGACACTTGGAAAGATCAGACACACAGTGGCTAAAAGTTTTTGGCTGGCACGAAATATGAACGCTATTTATTTTATTAAACCTTGTCCTAAACACTTTTTATTTACGTTTTTGAGATATTTGTGGCTACCAGTGTTGGGAGTAACGCATTACAAAAGTAATACATTACAGTAACATATTACTTTTTGCCGTAACGCAGTAGTGTAAGGCATTACTAATCAATTTTCAGTAATATTTTACTCGTTACATGTTCAGTGAGGCTTGTATTACAGTTGTATTACAGTGTATTGTCTGCTTTTACTTCTTAAAGGCAACAGACTATGTGAAAGTTTTAAAGCAGTCTTTTAGTGCCAGTTCCGAGCGGTCGCGTCTGTAACATTGTTTTTTCCTCATAAATGCGAACACGAAAACTAAAATAAAATGAATATTTTAAGTTCTATGGAGACTGGAGAGCCAACCCTTCCTCATCCGATTTGCGCAGTGTAATTAACAGAATTACAAAAAAATATATTTTGCCTCCTATTTTTTTGTCACGCATGAATGTGTGTCTTTTCCCTAATATTAAAAATAAAACATAGACTGATATTTGTCTAATGTCTGGAGTCCTTTAAGGAAGTAGCCTATATACGTTTCAATACATGTATTTTCTGAGAATTTTTATTTCATGTTTTGACTGCAAATGTCATGTCCATAATGCTGGACTTCCCCAATTTTAAATAATTTATCCTCAACTAGTTTTGTGGTGTAGGTCTACGTATTTTATAATGTTAACTTCAAATAATACTAATAGCCTAATTTAAAGATAAAGTAGCATTGGATATGGATATGGAGGTGTGTCGCGATTCTGTAGGTTCGTGGATCTGAGTCGTGTGGCGAATCGTGATTTCGGTTTCATATTGCATATCGTTACAGCCCCAAAGTTAAGTTCTACTTAGTTATTTTGGTGAAAGTAACTCAAAAGTAATACATGAGTAATGTAACGCATTACAATTCTGAGACAGTAATATTGTAAGGTAATGAATTACTTTTAAATAACAGTAACAAGTAATACCTAATGTATTACAGTTTGGAAGTAACTTGCACAACACTGGTGGCTACATATCACACTAAATGCATTAGGCTATGACAGTTTTTGCATTTTAACAGTGACATGTTTATACGACAATGACTGTTTCTAAAATGTAGCTGTAATTGCAATAAAAGGACAATTAATTGTTAATTACAAGAATTAATTGAGAGATTTAAATATGAAACACCCCGTGCAAAAAATAGTGATCAAAATATAAATATATTTTGGATTTTGTAGCTATAAAACCCATGCATGCAAGAAGAAAATAAACTTATCAAATGTGCAATTATATTTAATTGACTTGAAATCTAACAGTCTTTTAGTAGAGTTAGTGTGTTTGGTAGTACTTTCAGTTGCTAATGCACTGTAGGTTGTACAAAATGAATTCCTGTGTCTGACAAGAAAATGGTGCCTGCAGCTGAATCAAATCAACCATCCATTTTCCAAACCACTGGTCCAATGTGGGTACAGCATAATATCATACAGGTATTATTAAATGCTTTTTAATTGATTATTAAATTGTTTAATAAGGTTTAAACATGCTTTCCATGACAGAGTTCAAGATAAATCGTTTCATTAGTACTGGAGCTGCCACTTTGCTAAGTTTCAAATGATTATTAGAATGACTCTTAAAGCACAAACTATGCAAAAGCAGCATCGTTTCCAGTGCACTCAGTGTCCGAATTCACTAACTCGTTTTCATTCACCCCTTTAAGCGGACTATATTAGTGGGACAAATGAATGAGGGTAGGGGGCGATTTCGAACAAAGCCTACAGACTTCTCTGTCAGGTCTCTTTTATCTTTTTATGTTGTACATCCTTTCTAAACAGTACTAAAGGAGTCATTCAAACAATTTTTTTCCACAATTTTTATTCTGTATAGGATACAAATATAAGATTTTTTAAAACCATGTAAAACAAATAAGTCCAGACTTTAAACTGACAGTGCAAG